TACTTCCAAGCAGAGGGGTAATCCACACTGTAATGAGGAAGAAACTAGCTTTGATATCTGAGGTGAGTGAAGTCTTGACAAACTATCACGGACACAAAAATTCAGACTCTAGATCTAACAAGAAGTTCAAGAAGAACTGGTAAGAACTAGATTAATCAGATGAATACAAGAACAACACTAGAAAGATGAGCTAAAGCTCCAAGAGATGTGTTGTCGAGACTGAAGAACTCTTCAGCCTCGATTCCAATATATACTTCTATTTAGGAAGCTTCTTAAGCAACTTCTATGAACTAAGAAGCTTCTAGAAGGTTCCAGAGACTTAGTTGTAGAAGGTTCTAGAAACTTGTCTCTAAAAGGTTTTAAGGACTATGTCCTTAACATCTTCTACCAACTAGGAAGCTTCCCAAGCATCTTCCATCAACTGAGAAGCTTCTAGAAGGTTCCAGAGACTTGCTTCTAGTAGGTTCTAGAAACTTGTCTCTAGAAGGTTCTAAGAACTATGTCCCTAACATATAGTATTAAACTATAATGGCTATTGCTAAAGATAAACACACTAGAAATTCTTGAATAAAGACTAAGGACTAAAAAGATAGTAATAAGAGTGAAGAAGGCTTCAATCTTGCCTCTATATATACTCTTAACTAGGAGCTACTTAGCAATGTCATATAGGACCTCCAAAATATGTTGACTTTACAAGACATGTAACTTAACTTGCAAGGCATGTTTTTTATAGGTTTTTCAAGCTATCAATACATAATTAACTTGTAAATGAAGTTTCTAACCTATCAATCAACTACAAACACATATAAAGTCAAAGTAGCATCTATGAAGCTTTTAAAAAACTTCTAGGAAGCTTTTCTAGAAAATATTATGAAATAAATTTACTTTTACCTACTTCTATTTAATCACATAGATAAATATTAAAATAAATATGTATGTTTGTGGCAACGAATCAATTTAAGATATAATTGACTATATATTAAAAAATAAAAATAAAAATAAAAAAAGATGAATATCAATAAAATACTTTTGTAAATAAAAAAATAAAAAATAATTTTTTTTAAAGAGCTTTATATTAAAACATTAAAATTAATACTTTGAAGATATTATATCAGCTAAGAAGAATGAATTTTAACATTCTTACAAACATACATTAAGCTTTGTGTATACAAAACTTCGAGTTACCTTCAAAGACTAGAATTCCTTAGAAATAAAGCTAAAATTGGCTGAAAACCTTGGCTCTTTAGAACTCCCTACACTTTGTGTTTGTTCCATATGTTATGCTTTATAACAAAATCTTTTTTGATATTCATGAAAGCAAGTTTATTTGATTTCAACTTTTCTAAGAATTAACCAATTCAGTTTTAGTATTGATTGCATAATTATTAAAATTATATCAAATAATGTGATTTACATATTGCATAGTTTGATGCACAGTATATTTGCTATAAATTTATAAATAAAATCTTTAGTTTTATATGAAATTAATAGGATCTTATTTCAAAGTGTTCTAGATATTATTTCAATTGATCGATTCTTTGAAAATAATACAAAAGTTATGGTAATTATAAATCATACTATTTTTTTTAATCATGAAAAATAAAAAATAAAAATGAAGTCAAAAAAATTAGAAATTAATTATTATAAAAGTTTGATTATTAAAAAAGATTTTCTTTATTATAAGAAAGTAGATTTATAAAGACTTTGTTGCTATGTTTTTTGTATTTGACTTTACAAAACTAATTTTTTTCAGATGTATGTGTAATTTATTTTATAAAAACTATTAGAATGATATAATATATTTCCTCCAAATCAAAAATAACTAAAAATATAATTTTTAATAAAATAATTATCTCATGAAAAACACAATCTGTTGAATATTTGCTTAATATTAAAATAGAATATTTATATATATATATATATATATATATATACAGTTATACGGACCAAAAAGACCAATACTTGTTATAAGCATCTTATTAATGATACAAACTCAAAGTAGGTAATCTTTTATCATAATTCATTTGTCTTCTTTTTCACCATGTAAAGTTCAAAAAAAATAATAAATAAGTAAATAAATAAATGAGAGTCAGCTACACCTCATGACCATGTCCTTTACATGGGGAAGAAATGACTCTTATTCAAACTAGCCAAACACTTATATCAACTTTAATCTCCACCATACTTGTACCATTCCATTTGTATGTACGTAGTCCATATACATATGCAAATGTATGTATGTAGTCCATATATAGATGCATATGTATGTGTGTAGTCCACATACATATGCAAATGTATGTATGTAGTCCATATATAGATGCATATGTATGTATGTAGTCCACATACATATGCAGATGTATGTATGTAGTCCATATATAGATGCATATGTATGTATGTATGTAGTCCATTACCAATGAGTTTCTCCTTCAAAATGAGCAAGTTGTGGATTACATTCAAAGTGTTCAAGGTTGTATGCCCCCCCTGCCTTTGTTAAGGGCCTTAGAGGAGGGGTGTTCTCAAGGAGACATACTTTTTTTTCTTCAATTGAGCAACATTCTCAGCCCATCAAAATAGAAAAGGTATTCTGTGAGTCAAATCAATTCTGGTTGCCAGTCAAGGCCAAGGTTCAGTTGAGGACAAACCCTACTCTCCCTTTTCCAGACACCCACTTCCTTTCTCCCTTTCAATGTCCTAATTTTTTTTTTTTTTTTTTTTTTTTTAAATTCTTCCCCAGAAGGTAATGACCCATCACTTGGGTCAAGTGTCCCATCCCACCTTTCCTCATTTCCTTTGACTTAATCTGTCCATTTCCCCCTTTTGCATGGTATCCCTTTTGGAGTGAAGTAGGTTTAGCCGAGGTTGGGATGATACTTTTAGATGAACAAACAAGGTGAGATGTGCTTTGTAGGTGTACACAAAGTGAAAAAGGAGGGGATATATGTATGTATGTATGGATGGATGAATGGGTGAATGGATGAGTCTTGGTGCCCACTTACTTCTGTGTCCTTTTACTCTCTCACTCTAGTCCTCATGACTTTGTACTGAAGTCCTGATTTTCTAACTCTGTGACTTTATGTGGACTACTTCCATTCAATGAGCTACTTGGGGTCCAAGCAGTCACAATCCTTTGCTGCTCAGCAATGGATGAAGAACCCCATCATGACAGGGGCAGTGTGAACAAGGATCTAAATTGGTCAAAAACACAGTGTTGTTGATGGAAGAAGAAGACTCAATTGTCATAGGAAGAAGTGTCTTCCAAAGTTTTTGATGTTTTTGCTGTGAAATTAGGGCTTTGGGAATCACGTATTGGCTTTGCAGGACCTACCAAACAGTGGAGACCACTATTCTGTGGTACACCTCATGGGCCTTGAATTTGTTCTGGCTCTTTTGTTTGTGTTATCTGAATGCACTCACACACAAAAATCCTATCAGAAGTAGTGTACTGGAGGCCTGATGCAAACCCTAAAAGCATGTTAGTTAGTTAGTTAGTTAGTTAGTTTGTTTGTTTTTGTTTTTGTTTTGTTTATTTGGTCCTTCCTTCAAAATGATGAATATGAGAATCTTGACCAACACTACTGTAATAATAAAGTTCCATGCATTGAAAAAATGGTGCTTTGAAAAAATTGTAACTTGTTGTGGGTATAGTAAAAGGATTGTATTGTTAAATATTCTGATTACATTTTTGGTTTTTTAGCCAATTTTCTTTTTGGTTTTTCTGTAGTGATGAGCTTACCGTGAGAGCCAGCTCTTTGTTGTTAAAGACATTGCTCTGTTGGATTTCAGATTACCAAAGATTCTTCAATTTCTGATTAAATTGGACAAAGAAAAATTCAGTAACAATACCTTATTATTATTATTATTATTATCATCATCATCACCATCAATGTAATCCTTTAAAGATCCTTTCATGCAAGATCCCGCGGTAATGCCACTTATTTACTTTTCAAACACATGCAGGAAATGAACTACAAAATCTGTCATTCTGAAGGGGGCAACCCTAAATCCAATATAGAATTCAACTTGTTTCCTTTTTATTATTCCACGGTCCTAAGCCATCCAGCAAGAAGGGAAAGGTCCTATGACCGAGAACAGAGGTCCAAGTGAACGAATGAATAAACGTAACAGAATCGTTGCGGCGGAGCAATCAAAGATGGATGAACAACTGGGGCGAGTGGGGTATTACCGCTGGAATCTGAAGACCACGTTGATAGGGGGGTCTGCTATTCTCTTAGCGTCGTCGTCTGCCCTTCGACTTCCTCGTCACTTCCATTTTATTTAGGATCTGTATCTTGCTTCTGGCCTGCATCGAATAAGGGTCGTCCGTTCACGGATCTATTGCAGCTACACGCGTGAGAATAGAGTAGTAGCCTCGTCAGAGAAAGGAAAAAAAAACGGAGAGAGAGAGAGAGAGGAAAAAGGTCTGCTCTCGGAATGCCAGGGATCCGCTTGATTGCTCTCGACACAAGCGCTGCCTGCACTGGTAACAGTCCACTTTAATTTTTTAATTGTTTTTACGAGGGAGAGCGAAAGAGAGAGGAGAGAGGTTTTTTCTTACCTAAGGACCTCGTTCTGCAGTTTAACTTGCCTGTCAGGAGGTACATTTCTTGTACCAGCTTTGCTTCTGTGCCCTGCGACCAAGTCATTACATGTCTAGGCTTGGCGTAGAGTTTTTTCCAAGCATTACCGAAGAATTTCCGGAGAAGACTAGTGTGTGGAGTTTATCGTAAGAAAACTTCTGTAGAGGAGTTTTCCAGGAGTTTTCTAAGGGTGGAAGTTTGGAATGCGGGAATTATTTAAGGTTGCGCCTCCGACTGAGATTAGTCGAGAGATGTATGTTAAGACGAGGAGGGAGGTTGAAGAGGTCGTTGTTGGGGATGAATGAGCGAGGATAAGAGCCGGGACGTAGGGACCGCAGATCCTAGATGGCGGAGGAAAAGGCTGCGGGGTTGTCCACTGTTGATATGGTGACCACAAATGGCGACTGAGGTGAGAGATAGGGTGGAGGCTGTCCCAACGAGCAGCTTGTTCGGCTTTTACTGCATTCTTCGCTGTGACTGGTGTAACTGAAGTGGTAAATTGAGTTCTTACAGCAGGTGGAATGTAGGTCTTCCTTCTTGATTTTCTCCCGTGTTGGATTTGCGAGGATTCTGAGGATTTGCTGCAAGTTGGGCTAAGTTACGCTGAGTTAGCCATTGCTAACTAAGCGCAAGATTGCTGGTGCCTTGAAGAGTGTTCCATGGAGGAGCTGTACATGTCCTCTCGAGTGTCTCTCTCTCCATCTTCGTGCGTGTCGGGGTTTTCACCGTCCAAGCTTCTTTATGTGAAGTGGTTTCGTGTGGAAATTGTCTTCGCTGAGCTGATAAGGCTTTGGTCTCGTTGATGTACTGCCCAATCACGCTGATCAATCGCGTATCTGATGAAGACCATCATTCATCGTGGGGAAACATGAAACACGCAGCAAGTTCATTGTTCAGCATATCGTTGCTTGTCTTTGTCAAGGCTACGTATTCTTGTTGCATATCAAGATTGCGACCAGGATACGTTTTTCACCTTTGACACGCAGGAGCTGTAGCTTTCATTCCTCTTCCTCATCTATTCCGCTGTTGTCGCGAATTTTCGCAGGTCGAATCCTGTGGGCTGCACGCACGTAACTCCGTGTTGGAAAATCGTGTGCATAGTTCGTGTCTCCTCGATTCTGTGTGACTGCACATTTGTACATAGGTTTGCTTATGCTGCTGAAGTGTTCGGGCAGTATTTGCTTTTAACTTCTCGATAGTCCTCGTATACTTCTGAAATCTAAATGGTCATCCTTGACCTCCACCGAGAGTTACTCTGCTTTGGTCCACGAGTCTCTTAGTTTTTGCTCGAATCCAGCCATCTTGCAGTGTACTTATGGTATGGAGCGTCATGCGCACAGCTGAAGCAGGTATTTGGCCCTGGCTATCTTCTGGGTGCACTTGGAGGTTGAGGGGGTAAGGTGCTACGATGGTCTACTCTGTCTATTGTTATGTGAAAAGAATTATAGGTTCACGGATTCTAAGGGTTTTTGTCACAGATAAGAACGCGGATAGAAGTAGAAGGATCCTTGGCTGACCTGTAGCAGTTGCGGCCTGATGCTCGTGTCGACACTATCTGGGTAGGAAGCATATTTTGAACATCTTGGTGCAGCGGATCATGCAATAGGAGCTATGGGGATGGAGGATAAAGCATGCGCAGTGGATGTTACCTTGTGTGAAAGGCACATCGGGGCACAACCGGGGGGTGGTATATGCGCAATGTGTTTACAGGAAAAGCTGATTCTGTTATGGCGGGGTGAAGGGAATTCGAACTGGGATACAGAAGAGTTTTCTATTACGCCGCCTCTAGTCCAAGATAGTTGTGATACCCCCCCTGCGTGTGAGCCGTCGCCGGCTGATGCATATCCTGTCTACAAAGCAGGATCAGCTTGTTTGCCTCTCGTTTTTCACTTCCGAAATTTCCAACGAAATGGTGTGCACGATTCGAGCAAGTCCAGCAAGGTTTTGGCACGAGAGAAGATTGATAGGAGTTGTTTTGGTTTGGATGCTGATATGGATCATCAGCATCAATTCTCTTGCGAAATTAAGTCGATTTTGAAAGAACTGGCTGCATTGCACGAAAAGAAGAAGCTGGAGAGAGCTGAGAAGAGACGGTCTGGAACGGAAGGCGCGTGTCTTTCAGGCCGCCATCAACAACACGAGGAAGCTGCTGCTGATTTGTCACAGGTTGGACCAACTCCCAGTCATTTCGTCTTCCTTGGATTCCTTGTTCTATCATACAGCCCAGACCTTGTGCATTTCCACTTCATCTCGATGAAATATCTCCGTTCACGTCACATGACAAACTGTTCACATCTTTCGTTCATGTTGTGATTTCAATACTAGTTATGGAGTTTGCGACTGACATAATAAACACAAGCCGGATGATTTGTTTTAGTGTTTTGTAGAGGACTACTTGTCTAGTGGATGTCTCGAAGGAATACTTAGTCTATTCTGGGGTAGTTGTGCGCTTTAGTCACTGCATAGGAGTATGGCCGATGGACGCATCTCCTCAAATTTTGGATAGCTCTTTGGATGTTTTGGTAAGCAAGTCGTTATCATATAGCTTTCAGTGAAATCAATTTAATCTTTTCATTTGTGCAGGGTCCTATTCCTACATCGCCTGCTGGAAGAGACACAGAGGCGGTGCCTGGTGAGTATGAATTACCAAAAGCTAAAGCTAGCATTATCGAAGATGAAGATGAGGATGCAAGGTTCGCCAAGACTACCTTATGCTTCAACGCGTTGTGGCCAGGGCAACTTCGACCAAAACTGAACATGAAATGGGCAAGAATCTTGGTGAGCCCAATCCTATCAAGTAACAAAATAGCTCCTAGCAAGTCGGACTTGGCCAAGACAGTGAATGGTCGTCCTAAAGTTGCTGTTGAAGATAAACGACGGGAGAGTACCCGTGATTGTGAGATATTGGAAGTGCCGACAGGGATTAACGATTACAATGGAAGAGATCAGAGCACAGGTATTCAAAATATGCCGAGTCCAGCTGCGTCACGCTTACCGCCCCGACATGTGCAACGGATCGCAGACGAAGGTGTGTGTGTGTGTTAACTGTGCTCCTCGTCTACATGCTTTCGAAATTTTATTACAATTTATCAGACTTTACAAGATATTATTTTTTCAAAATAATTTCAGTAAGAATTCCCCGGCTAATACTGAGAAGTTATACGGGGACTGTGCTAGTTCATGCTTTGCAATGCAATTCTGAAAGTCATTTTTCTTTTTTCTTTTTTTCTTTTTTTATATTCTCTGGCTGTGATGAATTCGTTGCCTGTCGTGGGAGCTTACTGTGCCTTTTAATGATTTTGGATATTACGAATAAGTCAAGTGCTAATTTATATCGGGTTGATTTATTTAGATGGGGGTGCGATGGAGATCGACAAGGAAACTGCCATGCGCATGGAAGCATCTCGGATTACCGTGTTGACATGGTTGGAGAGTTTACCTAGTCCAAAGGCTGTTCACTTAAAAGAGAAGAATTATACGGGGTTCCCAGACGATCTGTCATTGGGCAACGGCGTGCTTGAAATGTGTGATGAAGAGGACGTAGCGTTTGATTATCAATCACAGGAACCAAAAATGGAAAATTTTGAGTTAGCTGATGGTTACAATTCCTTGAATCCTTTGGATCAGGTGGATGTTTACAACCACATCAGTTCTTTTGGGAAGTTTCTGCGAACCTTTCCAACTCAGATTTATGCTTCAAGTCGAATGCTTGACATTGAGATAGCAGCTCAATAAAGCTGAACAGTTTCTCATCAGCGAGTATGGCGGGAAGCAAGCTTGATTTGGTTAGGTAGACAACATCGATCTGAAGCTGTTGCTAATCGATACAGTTTGAACATTTCTACTGGCCGGGTGGCATTCGAAGATTGCTGCAGCCTCTGGAGCTATGCTTAATATGTACGACAAAAATCATCTGCTGTAGCAGTGAATACCTGCGTGTGTGATTTTATTCATCTACTGTTTCCCAATATATCCCTGGTTGTGTGCCGGAATTGAGCTTGACCTGAAGCATAGGAGATGCTCCACGTCTGCACAAAGAAACAACGGGTTTGGAGCTCTTTATTTCGGGGGCCGATTGGATTACTGAAGTCAATGCCAATATCTCCTCAGTCGCTGCGAATTTATGTAGATTGTCCTCACATAAGCTTGATTTGGAGTGATTTCCCCGCTGATGTTTGTGGGGGTCCATCGCCAGCTGTTTCAGTGGACATTCTTGGAAGCTGGGGGATGAGTTAGTCTACTTTCTGGGTATGCCCCTACGGACCATGTGCTATATGCTTGAGAGATGCTTTTTCTTGGTTACAATATTGTGCAACAATATTCGGGGGTTTTCATAACCCTTTGAAAGTACATTAATTGTAAATAAAATGTCCAGTGTGGCAGGTGCTTCGCATTTGCCTCCAGAAATTTTCGCATTCACCGACACCATGTGTGTCTACTTTGAAAAATGCTTACAGGTTTCTGCTGAACTGCACCTGTATTGCAATTTCTGAGCATGAATTTAAACGGACAATGCTTGTGAATGTGCAAGCGTGTCATGTAGTGCATTAATCTCCAGCTGACAGCTTTTGACCCTCGCAAGAACTATCTTTTGAAACAAATGATTATTTGACGTCCTGAGAACTGTCCTTATCCTACTCGTTATCTGTTTTCGTGCACTTGAGGATGCTGACTGAATTTTGAAGGGTAACATTCTCTTGATAATTGCGCCATCTACATTAGGAACGTAGGGAGTAACAGGGTTCGTAAAGCTCTTCAAAGCTGCGAATTCAACCAGCTTGCTGGGAAGATGTCGGAGAACTGGCCCAAGTACATTACTTAGTTAACAGAAGGTACATGGCTTCTGGAGTAACTAGGCGTTTCAAAATTGTGTGGCCTACACGGAAGTCACTACTCATTTAGCTATCTCCGAAAAACCGAAAAAAAACAACCTCGGTCTAGTATTATAATGCATCTGTCGTAATTGGTGCAGCATTCACAACCTTCGTACCAATCACGATGTTTGGAATTGTCAGCATCTGAATGAACAAACATAAAAACCTGCGTTGGACACGCTTGCCATAAAGACCGTTTGTCTGGATTTTGAGAACCGGAAACAATTACAATAGCCTATGTCAGAGTCAGCACCCATCTTTTGACTCGTTATGCGAGAGTAATTTGCCGAGTTCATGAATGGGTGGAGTTTGTGTAAGATTCCTCCTTATATTTCCCGAAGGAATGCTGCTTTACCATCTAGCCTCTTCGATAAGAGACAACATGCGATGGTATGAATTATAGGGTCTTAGTCTGAGTTAGAGTTAGGCCCTCTAAACTTCGCCTGATCAGTCTGACATCATGCCCTCACACTGACTACGCCAGTGTAACAGGAAGCTCGCTGCAACTTTGGAGGATTGCATAGACAACACAAAATAGAGCTACACCTGCACACAAGCTAGAAACCTCAGATCCACTACAATCTAGCATCCAAAGCCAAAACCTCTTCATTGACGCAGATTCTCATGACCAAGATTAATGTGATCTAGCCCTGCTTCTTTCAGTCATGAACCATGGGGTTGATCAACATCGGTAAAAATCGTGAGCAACGAGGCAACGACTGACTACTTAACGAGGGGGGATTCCATTTGCACGTCGTTAGATAGCTCCGTCTTATCTAATAGTGTTCAATTTGATTGGAACCACAACCGAAAGTCAGTAAGGTCATGCTGGATTTGGAGATGGGTTATTTCAACCTCGAGTTCAAGGGATTTAGGGGGACTGAATGCGCAGAAGATCCGAGAGGCTGGTAAGGAGTGAGAAATGAGGATGCTATGAGCGCGCCAGGTCCAGTTGGGTCCTCTGAAGCGAGAGTTTGATGAAGGATTTAAGCGTGTAGTCCACAACTTCTGCAGAAGGGCCGTTATGGTTACGTTGCCCAAAAACCGTCTTCAATATCAACTTGATACAACTAGTCTTCCAGCTGGTCTGTGCAACTTACAATCCTGCAATAGAAAATCACCCGACAACTTTGAAGCTATGTTGGCCAGGTGCCTACAGAGGAATCATCGGAGAGGGATCCCAAACCACTGATGAAAGATGTGGAAAAGCATTGAATCTCGCGTCATGGTTTGTTTAGAGTTAGTACCGACAGTTGGGGCCGGCGTCATAAGCGTGTACCTTTCTGGAGATCCTCAACCTCTGTGAACCAACAAGGCGGACGGATGGGGAGGAGGTTATGGTTATATTGAGGAGGGCTTACCAAATTCTTGGTGGTACCCTCATCCACCAACTTCTTCTAGGATTTGTGTGAGTGAGTGACTGCAGTTGCTTTGCATTGTTGGCACAAATCACAAGTTTGTATCTCCATTTCCGGCCTCGAGGTTCCAGATTGGTCTCAACTGCACCCGCTTCATCTAACCATAGATTCAGGAGCTGCAGTATGATTCACGCTAACCAAGTTTTTGTGCAGACAGAAGTGCGCGTGTGTACACATTCTCAATTGTGATGATTTCTAATTTTTTTTAAATCTATGTTTGTACTGAAGTTTGCAGCACCTGGTTATTTCTGGGCTTCGATCTGCAAAATGTATGGGCATCGACTGTCCTGAGTGGAACATCGTCGTGAACGATGTCATGCGAGGATCCCCTTCACTGTAGCAGCTACAGTTGGAAAGAATGAAAGCTTTTAGAACACCAGGATTTCAGTGAACGTTGGAGGAGGGACTGGGCTACTGGTGAGGGATATTGTTAAGAAGTATCCTCACGTTCATGGCACTGTTTTCCACTTTTCCCACTCTATCGCTGATGCTCCTGGTATGGAAGGTTTTGCTCCACTTTATCGGCTTGCCAAAAAGCATGTTCACCATCTTCATTTCGAGATTCTCTTGGGTGTTTGACCGAGTGTCTTAAATGTTTGGTACCTCCTCGAAAACATGAACGTGTGAAGTGTGTGGAATGTGATATTATTGAGAGCATTCCTACAAGCGCCGCAGCCTTCATGAAGGTAAATTTTCTCCCTCAGCTCTTGTCCGATCACTCGTGTCCTCGACAAGAACAGAAATCACGTATGTGAGCAGGGGATTCTAGCTCATGAGCTTGTTTCAGATCCAGTACCGAACTAAAATCCTACACTCGGCGAATTGGTATAAACCTCGACAGTCATGGTTTAATGTTGCAGTTATGTTTACCCTATAGTGAGCTATCAGAACGCTCTGAAGCATGAATTTACACACGCAAGACCCCTTTTGAAATTAATGACATTCCATGCTTGGTCTCTTCTCCTTCTAATCCACTATTCTTGTTACATGAAAATGGCTCTGAAAGAGTCCACACATCATGTGCTGTGCCGCGTGAGAGTTTATACAATAAAAAACGAACATTTTAAGAGGAATCTAAACGACCCATCTGTTGCTCTGACTGAAAACTGGTGCATCAAATAGAATGCTGTGAGTTTGTGCAACTCCATGTATGGATCTCTGAAGGCGATCCCTGCAGACTCAGGAAAGAGAAATCATTTTGTTTTATCCTATTGTTTTTCTGGTTGATCACAGCAAAAAGTGTATTCATGGTGAAATCTAAACCGGGAGATTGTAAAAAAAACATGTATTTGGTCAAGTCCTTGAGAAGTAAAACACTTCTGTGTTCGCTTTTGAAAAGTCTCATTGGATCCAATCCTTCATGCTACATTTGAGACACACCTTTTGTATCATTTCATTACTAGCTCCACTCACAATAACGTCTGAATACCTTAAACCGTCAACTTAAGGTTTTTCAGCTATTTCGGGGGGTTTTTTTTGGAAAAATATTGTTTAGGGTGGAGAAATGAGGTTTTGTTGAGCTCCGAAAGAAAAAAAAATTGAAATGCAGCAATAGTTGAATTGATAAAAAAATTCAAAGCGAGCGCCCAGGTGCGACCAAAAACCACGAAAAGGGGAGGCAGAAACTGTATGAGCAATTGGCCTTACTCCGCTTGTCAGCTGCTTGAAATTGCAAGAACTCGAGCCCCAAAACCATGTGTGCAACTGGCCACACTTCACGACTTGTAGAAAGCCCCTCAGCCACTCAAAACCCATTTTTCATTGGGCCAGCACCAAGCCACATGTCAATATGGATCATTGACATGGATGCTGAATAATATTAAAAATAAAATTTGTAAAATATAAAAATTATACAAAATATATTTCACATGAGTTGTGAATTCTATATAATACAAAAATATGAATCTTGTAAAATATAAAATATAAAATTTACACAAAATATAATAACTTGTGCAAATGTAATTGCGGCAAGATTTTCCAAAGAAATTGGTTGCATGCTTTAGTTGTTTTTGTCAAATATATATAATTACTATGTCATAATTAAAAAAATATTTATCCATCAAAGTTTATGTTGTTGCCAAGTTCACTACTTGTTTACTTGATATGCACATAGCTTATATAATCACCTCTCATAATGTTTGTACAATCAATTTTGTTTGATTATAGAATATATTTGCCGCAAATACGAGTCTTTATTTTGCATAAAAACAAGGACACATGCATGCAATAAATATACTCTATGTCTTTGTTAATATATGTACAACCTCTTCCATAGTGGCTTATAATCCTTCCGTAGTGGCTTATAATCCATGAGCTTTTACATGGAAAAATTTGATGCAGCATTTTGTGAGCATTCTATACAGTAATAGAACATTTATTACAAGTTATTTGTTGGCATGTATGCATGGATTGTTTTTTTTTTGCTTCATTATTATTTTATGATATTGATTTTATTTACAATAAAAAATATCCCAATCTTAGGTGACTGAATTGTGAAAGTGATTGGCGGCAAATGAAACCAATGGCATATGATGATATGGGTGCAAGAAGGTGTCATAGGAAGTTGACATAGATGAAGTAGACACACAGATGCTAGTTTGTGTTGACTGAGTTGTATTGCTAAAGTGTAGGGGTCATACCTCTATTTTTGCTCATTGAGTATTAGATTTAAGCCTAAGTTTAATAAGTCTTGTCAATCTTCCTTGAATAATGGTTGCTCTTCTTCTAATATTTATACAATGTATTGGGATAAAATTCAAGCATCTTAATGCAATTTCACTTCTTCACAAAACCAAGTATACATGAAATATTGAGTGCTTGTTTGCTTGGGTTATCTTCAATCATTTAGATGCTTAGCTCTCTACCCAAATTTGATAACCATGCAATAGAGTTTATAGTGTCGCTTTTTTATTTGTTAGATTACTTTTTTTCTAAAAGAGAGTATCAATGATATATCAATACTGGTATTGCAATGCATTATAAATAATAGGAGGATTTTTTTTTCGTTCATCCAATTTAAAAGATAAAAGAAGAAATGGATGAATTTAGAATATTACTTTAGATAAAAAATTGGCTTAGCATTCCAAGGAAAATGTCAATTTCTTGTTGTCTTTTGCATGTTTAAATTTCAAGG